CACTCTCATGAGGCAACATGGAGAATGTCTCATATTGGATCTTGAGGAAATGAAGCTTGGCATCCTTGTACTCGCTTGTGCCCTCATGGATCTCCGCCAACTTGTTCCAAATCTCATATGCGGTCTCAAGGTTGCTCACTCTATCGAACTCCTCTTGGCTCAAAGAGTTGGACAAAGCATTCATGGCTTGGGCATTGAGTTGGAGGTTGCGGTGATCAATCTCCGTCAAGGGCGTGCCGGTGATAGCAAAGCCTACATCCACAATACTCCAAATATGGAGGCTCATAGCTTTGAGGTGAGTAGACATTTTAATTTTCCAAGTGGAGTAGTTTGTGCCATTAAACATGGGAGCCTTCCCTACATGGTTCACCTCATTCGACATCTTCTCTCTAGGCGGTGAAGCCTAATTAAGAGAGACCAAGCTCTGATACCACTTGTAGGATCGAGATGTCGACTAGAGGGGGTGAATAGGCGATTTAAAACTAAATGACACCTAATCAAAACTAACCTAAGTTGATAGGCTTGGTGAGGGTGAACTCTAACTAAGCAACTAAGTTATGTTTTGCAAACCTAGGGTGATAGTGGCTCAATTATATCTCTAGGAAAGTAAATCACACTCCTATGTCAATGTTTAGCAATCCTAGGGTGATATGATCTCAAGTATGTCTCTAGAAATGTAAATTGCACAAATGTAAATGCGACAATCAAATGAGACAAGGAGACAAGAGATTTTTCACCGAGGTTCGGAAACTCGCCGGTTTCCTACTCCCCGTTGAGGCGAGCCCAACTCCACCGCTCAACCACGAAGCCACCACACGCCCCCTTCGTCAAGGGGTGGGCAAGGCGGGAGCTGGCCCACGGAGAGGACTACCTAAGCCTCGATCACTAGGGTAGTTCTTCCTTCACTCCGAAGGTGGTGAACTCCAAACCACTCACAAACCGGCGCCGGGCCTCCTCCACAATCTTCTCGGAGAGGTCACCGGGCAACTCCTCCACAAGCCGTCTAGGAGGCGGCAACCTCCAAGAGTAACAAGCAATGACCCGGCATGGAGATGATCAATCAAATTCCACACTAGCTCTACAACTGGAAGCAATGCACTTGACTCTTGGCTAATTAACCCTCTAACACACTAGATGGATGAACACAAAGCTCAAGTGGGTGTGAGAGAGGTGCAAGGGGTGTATGCAATTGAATTGGGTGCCAAGAGAGACCCCTTGCTGCTGGAGGGGGAGTATTTATACTCCCACCAACCAAAACTAGCCGTTGGGGGCGAAATCCCCCAACTTTGTGCTCTGCCAGTCTGACCGGAGGTATGCGGCCGGTCAGACCGTGCTACTCTGCAACGGCTAGAAAACTAGCCGTTGTAGTGTTGTCAGAGGGCCCCATCGGCCTAGTCGATCACACCGGCCTCGGCTCGGTCTGACCGAATACGGCTCCGTCGGCTCTGTATCGGCCACCCCGAGCAGCACCATCCCGTCCTCTAGGGGGCCGGTTTGACCGCGCATGTGCCGCCGGTCAGACCGGCCTTATGCGCGGCGGCCGGTCAGACCGGCCAAGGCACGCCGGTCAGACCGCCACTATGTGGCCGGTCTGACCGCCCCTGGTCAAGCCGAAACCAGTAAAATCCCAAGTGATTGTGTGTGTGATGAAAAGCGAGCACAAGTCTAAATGCATAATGATCTAATGTGGCAATTAAAATCATCTCTTTGCTAGGTCATTACCCCTCTTAATAGTACGGCGAAACTAAAAAATAAACTAGCAAATTTGATCGCCCTACACCTCGATCAATTCTAAATTAAAGCGCTAGTTTTACCGTCTTCTTTCTCTTTGCTTTGCGCCGTCAATTTTAATCCATCGATAGTCATCCATGCGCACACATGACGTGGACCTAACTTAAAATATTATCTCAATAGCAACGGTTAGTCCACAATTAGCGTTTGTCATTAATTACCAAAATTAACAATGGGGGCCTAGATGCTTCAACCGGGGCATCTTTGGTTCCGGATTCATGGTTCCGGTTGCATAGCCGGGACTATAGGGGGTTACGAACCGTGGGTGAAAACCCTTTGTCCAGCAGTGTAAGTTGCCTCCAAGAGACAAAGGAATATCACCACTTAGCTTGAGGCAAAGCAGCGCCTAAATATCAGTGTCTAACACTGATAGAAAAAAACGTTTTTCCAGACGGTCAAAACACGTTTTCGCAGGCGAAGAAACCTTCCACCTGGATCTAAACTGCTGTAAAAATCCCAGTTTTTACAAGCAGACCAAAGCACCGCCTGCAAAAATGATTTTCACAAGCAGCAGTTTGTATCTTTCCCGGCGCTGCAGTAGCTACAGTATCCCCACCTGCGAAAATACTCACGGCACCAAAAAAAATTTCCCGCCACCCCCACCCCCTCCCTAGGTTTCAAATCACAAATCACAAATTCTCACAAATCTCATCCAGGAAACAAAATCCAATCACAAACATCCATATATCAACACAAAGCATTGGATTCAAATCCACAACATCAACTTACAAGTTAACATTAATCAACAAGTAAACTTAAAAAAAAAAGCAACGTCGTCGTCGCCGGCGAACTCTTTTGTGTGCAGTGGCCGCCGCCGTCACCCTCCCCCCTCGGGCCGGATCTGGGAGGGAGGGAGGAGTCCGCTGCCACCACCGTCCTCCCCACTCCTCGTAGGGGCCAGATTTGGGAGAGGGAGGGGAGGGGAGCCGCCTCCGCGCAGCCGTTGCCCGCGTCCGTGCCGCCGTCGCCGTCTACACCGCCACTGTCGCTCCCCCTCCTCTCGCTAGATCTAGGAGCGGGGAGGGAAAGAGGGGGAGCCGCCGCCGCCGTCGCCCCGTCCGCACCGCCGCCGCCTCATCCGCGCCACTGCCGTCGCTCCCCCTCCTCCAGCTAGATGTAGGAGCGGGGAGGAGAGAGGGGGGGCGCCACCCCGTCCGCGCTGACGTCGCCATCCACGCCGCCGCGTTCGCGCCGCTGCCGTCGCTCCTCCTCCTCTAGCAGGGAGGAAGAGAGGCAGAGCCGCCGTGCCGCCGTCACTCCCCTCCTCTGGTTGGATTGGGAGGGAGGGGAGGGGAGGGGAGGGGAGGAGAGTGACGGGCCAGTGAGAGAGAGAGAGAGAGTGTGTGTGTGTGTTGAGAGGGAAATAAGTGGTGGCCGGTGAGGAGGGGTGGAGTAGAAGATAAGAAAGAGTTAAGATTTTTTTTGAGGGGTGGAGCCGGCAGGCAGACCACATAAGGTTCCACCTGCGAAAATCAATGTATTTTCGCATTTGCCTGGAAAAATTAATTTTCGCAGGTGGATAACAAAAATCCACCCCGGTTTATATTTTCGTAGGAGGATATTTGGCTCCGAGGGTCATACCCACCTGGAAAAATAAAAGGCCAGTGTCGCTAAAAATGTTTTTCTAGTAGTGTAATCCATTGTGGAATAGTGCAGCCATGAAGCTTGGAAAGATAAGATATGCAGTGGAGAGATATGCAGTGGAGAGGAAGCATGAGAGGCATCCAAACAGGATGTCAGATCCGTATATGTATATAATAAATTCGGAGAAAACTACCGATCAATCTACCTATCCTATCGGTCACTCCAATACATACATGTATTAATCTTTAAAATATTTTTTTATCCTAGACTACTTATCTTATATACGATCCGACTACATCATTATATTTATTATAATCTAATCTCTATAACAAGATACCATATAATTATATTTTGATAAAGTAAAACATATGTTTTAAACCGTTAAAACTCAATGTTTCGTATGTTATAGCGACATGTTTCAGTGTATGTTTCACCATGTTTTATAGAACCCACTCAATTACTTGTCCCTACTCTCTCTCTAATCCATTCATCCATCCATGCATACATTCAACGATTTTCAAAACGATTTTTCTCATAAATTACTTATCCGATCTATAATTTAATCACACCGTTATATTCATTGTAATTAAATTTTTACAACAAAATATCACATGATTATATTCTGATGAAAAAAAAAGTCATATTTTAATACGTTAACACCTAATGTTTTATACAAAATGGCAACATGTTTCAACGTGTCTCTTCACTGTATTTCACAAAATTTTTAAATATTTCAATGGCTGATTTTTTTTTTCACTAATGGTCAACTAAAATATTTATTTAATCATTTTTTTATAGAAATCTGGTGCTCGATTACGAGTTTCCTCCAATGGAGTTCCAACAAAATTACGATGAACAAGAAAAGTAGTTGGGTGGAGTTAACACACAATTAATCATGCATGTATTTCAGATTTTCATTTGACCCAAAAACTTCATCATAAAATAAGTTAACCTAGTACGTACCCTAGTTTTACGAATCTGAATAAACAAATGTCTAAATTTGTAGTATAGGATATATTACATCTTATAATAGGTTAACTTATATTGGGATGAATGGAAAACATGATTATGCATTTGTCGAAGGGAGTACATATGGTTATGCATTTGTCATGCGTTGGATCGATCTTCTCTAATATGTCGTCAACCTCAAAGCCAAAACGACGAAGAAATTATGAAGTAAACTACTCCCTCTGTCCCAATATAGATGTTACTTTAGGATTCAAAATTTGTCCAAAAAACTCAAAAAGCTTGTTACTTTGAAGTACATTTTGTCACATCAATCATCTCCAATTCAAAATTTTCTCCATTCTACCCTCTTCCTACCAACCATGTATCATTTAATTGAGGGCACTATAGTCATTTTTGTAAACATTAATTTTTGCTAAATAACCTAGGATGATAACTATATTGGGACAGAGGTAATACGGCATTAAATATAGTTTCTGGTCTTGCACAGGTAGTGAACTTTTAACGTGCAACCAAGATTTTTTGTGATAGAAATGTAGCATGCACCCGTGACCACGGAAATTCAACATACAATTCAACTGAACATTGTTGCACTCATGTGCAATCGATGAACTCTTGGAGTAAGAGTATGTTATGTAGCACATCCAGACAAAGATGAATTGGCTGTATAGACTTCACATGTAGTGCTGCAAGTTAAAAGCCAGTTCCTGTTTAACAAAATGTCGATAACATTGATAAACGGCTTTGCTGCCTTGCTTGACGGCTGATGCTACTCTAAATTGGTTTAGCCATTCCATTGACCATGAATCATATCACAAGCTTGTCACAAATGACTAAAATCATGGAACTCAGATTCCAACCCTTTGACCAAAACCATAGAATGCAGACAGAATACTAACTTTTCTTATTGGCAGCCAGAGAATGTCTCTCGTCAAATAGGAACTACTTTTTTTTTTTGCTTTTGGGGCAAAGAACTATTTTTTCTTTCCGAACAAACTAAAGATATGCACATCATTTCATTACTAAGAAGAAGATACACATAGGAGGAGAATCCAGAAACTCCCCACCCTAAACACTTAAAAACAGAAAAACAAGACCACTTGAGCCGCAAGGGCCATAGACCTAGCTCTGTGAAGCTCCGGCTAAGCTCCAAAGTATGCCTTCATTTGTTACTGTTTGCAGCACCACTGACACCCTCAGAATTGAGCTATTGAAAGCTCATTCATGTGTTTCACAATTTCTTGGTTACATAACTAAAGAACTATTGCGTGGTTACATAACCATGAAATAGCAGCAGAACACCTAGCAACATGAAAAAAAAATGTTACTTGGACCCATAAAGAGAGTTAAACACGCAAAACTTACAAACCATGAAAAATATTTGGAAATTTCAAATGTTCATTTAACCCATAGATGTCACTTCAACCGTTCTTAGTTAATAAAAAAAATGAACTCTGGCTAAACAATCAAGGTAAAATCTTAAGCTTGCTCTAAATTGTAACTGATGTAATCTATTAACTATTAAAGTAATAGAAAACGAAGCCTCCACGTTCGCTCTCGTAGCCTAGAAATTCTCATATTAATAATTGGAGAAAAAGAAAAAACTGAGTCCATATATCCATATAGGAATACAATTTAAAAATAACTGAAATCCAGAATTATTTAAAAATAACTGAAATCCGGAATTAAAAATAAGGAATATTGAAAGAGAAGACTAGAGTCCATACCGATATACAATGGAACTAATGGAAATTCGAAATTAAAAAATTAAAAAAATAAAATTAGAGGTTAGAGTAGTCCATATAGAAATACAATTTAGAATCTCTCATGGCCTATAAATTTTCATATTAATTGGAGAAAAGGAAAAAACAAAGCTCATATAGGAATACAATTTAAAAATAGCTGAAATTCGGAATTAAAAATAAGGAATATAAAAAAAAAGACTAGAATCCATAACAGTATACAATAGAACTAATGGAAATTCGGAAATTAAAAATAAGAAAATATATATGCTATTATATGAGGAAAAACATAAGGATGCTAACCGTGCAATTTGCGCGAGCCACCATCTAGTTATATTATTAGGTAACAACCAAAACAATAACTAACCAAAGTAAAAACTGCCAATGCTATGAATAGTAATCAATAGAGTTAGTAACCATGCATAGTAACTTCTGAAACATATAATTTAAGACGTGTTTTACAATGTCTCTACTGGTATACTGGTAGTAAAATCAATTTAGACCATTAATATTTTCTAATATATATATAGACACACACACACACACACTAATGACCCAAACCAATGGTAGTAGAATAATTTGAACTACTGGAAGTAGAACTCATAAATCAACGAGTTGGATCATTTCTTCTGGTAGTAAAATACTACCAGTAGAGACCACCGTAAAGGTATCCATGATTTAAGGATTTATTCATTTTATTACACTTCATTGGAATCCCTACATCCAAAAGTCTAAGACCTATTTCTTTTGTCACCAAGACTAAAAAGTAATTAACTCATTCACCATGTGACAAAACCAATGAACATGCAATCAATAAGTACTAAAATAGCTTCTTGGGTTCCGATTAACAATTTAATTTAGCACGTAGTGATTACAGATAGGCCTTAGCTTTTTGAAAAAAAAAACAAAAAATAAAATAGGTCTTAGACTTTTGGATGGAAGGAGTATTCTACAAATGCTTAAACCTTTTTCTTCATTAAAATTGCGAAAGGTGAAAGGATCCACCCATAGGATGTCTGACAATTCAAGGTACTCATCGTCCAGCAACTATAAATTCTGTAATTGCATCCCCTGCCACCCCCCTACCCTCCCTCACAAGCGCCTCTTGCTCGCTGGTAGCTAAAGTACTTAATACCCCTACAAAATCCATATGATTGACCTACTTCAGTCATTCAGCGTAGGTGTGAACTTCTAATACCTTTTAACCAATTCTGTTAGTAGATCAAAACTCAAAAGAAAACATGTTTTCAAAAGTTCATCTTCGACGTTTCTTTTGATTACACGTCAATCTGCATTCCACTAAAGACTCATGTGTTCTAACAGTGTTCCTTATCACCCCTATTTCCAAGAGCAATGCATGATTATTTTTTCTTCTCGTCACAAAATTTCTTAGGTAATTACTACCTAGAGTACTTACTCGACTTAGATCTACCTCTAAGAGTCTTTCAACTAATCATTGTCTAGAATCAATATAGCAGTATCTATTTTATGCTACTGGCATTTCATGCATATCCTTAACTGTTACAGGTTGTGCTTATATGCACCTTCGCTTAAATTCACCTTGATCCTGCATCACTAGAGGGCAAAGAATACCACATCAGTTGCTCCTGTCCATGTAGGCTGGGTGTGGACTACATTAAAACGGTGCTTCTGAGGGAGCGAACATGGAGGTAGTGTAGGACTGTAGGGCTTAGGGAGGGGTGAGTGTGTTGCTGGCTTGTTCCTGGCCTTGGCCTCAATGGTGCAGACTTTGGCAAAGGAATGGGAAGCACCGAAGGGTAAGAGGGGTGGAGATGGGGAGAGATAGAAGGCTTTGGCTGTGGCGGTTGGGAGGAGGCAGCAGTGACAGTGGCGATGAACAGGAGGAGATGCAGCAGTGAGCCCTCTGCTTCTTCCTATCCATCGCTGGATTCCTTCATTTGCTCCTGTCCTCCTTGCAACCTTCATCCTGCTCCTCTTCCTAGACCTGTTCCTCCTCATCCTATTCCTCTTCACCAGCGGAATAGGCATCTCCACACCACTGCCACTCATATGCGCCTGTGTGTTGCTGAGGGCATGGTCCTCAATTGTAAAATCGTTCATTTTGGTCCCTCAGCTCATTAAAATATGCACATTTCAACTCTGGCCCCAAATTTGGGATGGTTTTCAATGGCTTGGTGTCTGTGGAACCAACATATGTAAAAAGTACCGCATCACCATACCGATCAATAATTTAAAAAAAACAAAAATAAAGAAACTACGAGGATGGCTTTATTTACAAAAACTAAATTTCAGCTCTGAGGACTGGTTCTCATTTGTGTGTGTATGCTCCATTTTCTTCTTTCCCTTTAGAAGTCTATTTTAAGTATGTTAAGCTACTGCATCTGTATTTGCTTAAATAGGCTTCTATTTATAAAGTTACCTCAGTTTTAGTTATTTTCACCTAGTCTTAGTTCTCTAGCTGTACATTCAAGATTTATATGTGAAGAAGTTCAATTGAGATGAAAGTAAATATAGCTAGGATCAAATTGAAGGAAATTATAAGATGCATTATGAATGGATTGCTTAACCATAAAAACTGTGCCCCTCGCTAGATGGGATCCTCATGCAGAAATCTTTGTAGATTTACACTTCAGTTTGAGGGAAGTTCTTGAAACTCACCTGCTGCTGTTATAAATTCCCTCCATGTGTCCTTAGTGCCTTCCTACCTCAGACCTTGCAGCAATCATTGATTTCCAAATGAAAATCCTAAAGGAGGGCAGTAATGCATCTTGCACTCTGTTGAAATCCCAAGCAAGGGAACTCACTGCAAAATTCCAACAGATATCATGAATAAGAGGACCTGCATTTTCGATATACAGCAAAGGCAATGAAAAGAAGCCTAATAAGCAGAACGTAGAGATAGATTAATCAGCATACTTGGTTATGCCTTCAAAACTTACCAGTCTGATATTCCATTGTGTAATGTGCACAAAGTGAACTCCAACGTAAAATGATATACAGCATAAAAGCAGAAGGGCAACACCAATGACAAACCCATAGCCCACACCTGCCTTATGGCCTCTTAACAAACTCCTTTCTTCGCAGGACTTCCACATTTACTTTAATGGATTTCAATTCACTTCTCTTCTACCCAGAACAAATCAATAGTTCCAATTTACCAATAGTATGTGCTTGGTCTGCAAGCACATTACACAAGTTTTCAGTACAACATTGCAAAACCGTTTGATTTCCATGAAAAAAGAACAAAAGGACCATATACCTTGGCTTTTTGCACCACAGATCCATTTTTAAGCAGCTTAAATGATAAAGCCAGTCAAATGCTTCCCGCCTGGCATGTTGAACAAAGAGAATTGCAGTCAGGCAATGATGGAAATCCACTGCTGAAATTGAATATGTATAACTCAGATGACAACTCTCGAGTAAGAAAGTGAATGGTGGTAAAAATTTGACTTTGTCATCATACACCAGCAAGCAAAAATGGCCCATGATGATTTAAGATGAAATAGCAAAGAAAACACTTTATAGTTCATACCAAACACAAAATAATTGGCCTCGAACAATTATAAGATTAAATTGAATTTCATATAAATAGGTTCCATGTCCCAACAGAGGAAACTGTTTTTTTGTTCATGAAGAAACCATATAACAGACCAATCAGAAAAAATAAGTATATGTTTTACAGCCTGTTTAGCAGGGCTCCATCTCTTGGATCCTTGTCCGGTGGAGGCGGAGCTGGAGCCAAACCCAGTGGTACTAGATTCTCAAATTTTTAGAAGCAGGTGGATCTGCCCTAGAAAATACATTGGAAGCATGGAGCTACCTTTTCACAGCTCCACAACTACAGATCCATTTACGATTTGGAGCTCTATCAAACACGCCCTAAGTACACAGCCTAAGGCTTTGCAAAAGAAAGGCTACGGAAAGAATATGATTAAATTGATAATCAATGAAGATTATGTGGTACGGTCAAATTATTTTTAGCCATGAGATTACTTTTTCTTCAAACAGATAGTCTCTTTATAATGAACATATTCCTCTCTATGCTAAATTATCCCCTAATACACATCTTAAGCACTTCAAGAAAGCTTTGATTAGAGATTTTTGGTTCAAAGGATGGAAGTTTGTTAACCAAAATGGCATTGTTACATGATAGGACATCATTTTAGTTTATTATATAGCCTAAGACCGTGCGTTGCAATGGAAAATAAATTGAGTTTCTAGCTTATTAAATCAATTAATAAGCACTTATTTAGTCTAAGTAATACTATGTTTTTTCTTATTGAACAAGTAAGTGATTTTGAAATTTGTGGGGAGCCAATAGTGAAATGAGGGAGGACTTGTTGAAAGGTGGTGTAATAATATAGAATTATAGATTGTTGGGCTCACATGTTAGTGGTAGGGGTGGTGTGGGAATGGACACCACCACTACTAACATTTTAAGTAGTCTAGGTATATACTATATCGACTAGAAGGATTTTTTTTGTGTTAGAAGTTAAAAATAATTAATAAATACAGTACAGCACAGGTGATAATGCTAGTTAATGTTTGATTGTTAAGGTAGGCAACATTGTTGAGAACTCAGAGAGAATATGCAAGTGCATATTGATAGTTGTGTGGAACAAAGACCATTGACGAGCTATCATTTATTATATATACAATAAGTAGGCCATCACAGCTATAGGTTAAGATTTCATATTTTCCAATGCTCCTTTGAACATCTGGAAGAACCAGTTAAGAAACTGAGGACCATGCTTATTCATTTAGTAAAAAGGTCAAATTTCTTACAAGGGGATCTACATATAATTGTTTGCAAAAGGTCATTGAATAGTCATTGACAATTATATAGTACAACAATCATCATGTCACAGTAATAGAATTAGATGGCATGAATAATATACTGATAAAAGTTACGAGAACAAATTGTAAGAGCAGCCAAGAACATATATTGTTATTATTCATCTGGAAGCGTTCAGCAATAAGAATCATGCTTATCAATCTACAAAATTTAATTCTTTGGAAAAAAAAATCAGAGAGATTAAGTTACCTGTTCTCATCTTGCCTACAGTAACCGATATGTTTCCTAGATCCACAAGGCTTCAGTTTACTTCCTTTTCAACATCGCATCCAGAATAAGGTTTAGCTTATAAAAAGTTCTATAGTGACAATAGCCAACCCTACAGAATGTTCTAATTGTAAGGTCAAAAACATGATGATCAGGGACAAAATCTTTTCCATCAAATATGCGATTGATTTCCCATATTTTATCAGCATAAACAAGCCTGTTGAGAAGGACAGTAAGAACATCCATCGATAGCCCACTTGTAAGTGATTTAAGAAAACAAGCAGTAGCTGCATCAAATTTCCTTTCTCTGCATAATCCATCAATTATTATAGTATAGGTGACTTCATCTGGAGCAATATTCTTTTCCTCCATTACTGAAATTAAGCGATTCGCTTCAGTTAACTTTCCATGGTAGTAAAACCAATGAAGGAGTATATTGTATGTCACCACATTTGCAGCAAATCCTAGACTATGGATCAAGCTCTTGGCTAAGGAGGACTTTCCCCCAACACAAAGACTACGAATCAAAATGTTGAACGTCCTTGTGTTTGGCTCGATACCTTTTTTGATCATATCTGTTAATAGCTTCATAATACCCCTCCATTTGCCCATCTCACACAAACTGCTCATTACAGTGTTGTATGCAACAACACCAGCATACCATTTCAACTCTGTGCTCCTCTCTAACAAGTATATAGCATCCAAAAGTCTTGAGGAATGGCAAAGGCAATTCAGAAGAATACTCCAAGTATAAGCTGTGGGTTCCAATCCCTCACCTAACATAACATCCAACAGCTCAAGTGCTTCCTTAGCCTTACCTTTCTTGCAGAGGCCATTCATATATATATTGTACGTGACCGTACTGGGCTTCCAATCTTTGGTACTACTTTCCATTAAAACCTGTTCAACTTCATCAAATTTGTCATCATCACACAAGGCCCTGATTAGAACATTGTATGTGACGACGTTGGGAAGGCAGCCAAGACGTTCCATCTCGGCCATCAGCAGCTTGGCCTCCACGATGCGGCCATCGCGGCAATATGCTTGTACTATGGGCGTGTAAGTCTGCACCATCGGGCGGCAGTTCTTCTCCAGCATCCAGTCAAGCACGCCCCACGCCTCAACGATCTTACCTGCCCGGCACAGGCCCGCGATGAGCGTTGAGTACGTACCAACGTCAGGCTCCACCCCGCTCTTGTGGATAAGCTCCCAAGCAAGGTCAAACTCCGACCGCCTTGCGTGCATCTTGATCAGGATGTTTTGTGACGACGCGTTGGGCGCTACACCCGACGCGAGCATTTCATCGAACGCCTTGAGGGCCTCCCCCTCGCGACCGGCCTCCGCGAGCGCATTGACGAGCGTGTTATAGCACAGCACGTTGGGCGGCGCGCCGCCATCACCACCGTCGGCGGCAGTCCGCTTTAGCTCAGCAAAGACAGCGACCACCTCGTCCAAGTCGCCGGCGAGCGCCAGGGCTTTCATGGCCACGTTGTAGTCTCGCTCCAGCCGCCGCCGCTTCTGCTGCTGCGTAGGCGGGGTGTTCGCCTCCGGTGCGGGAGGAGACGGGAGGTGCTTTCCGTCGTCGGAGTCCTCCGAGGAGGAGCAGGAAGGAGAGGGGAGGGGCAGGAGAGCCGCGGCGGAGGCCGAGGAGGCCATGCGCCCGCGCATCAGGAGGCGAGAGGTGAGGAGGACAGCTATGCGCCCGATGGTCACCGAATGGGGGGGGCGGAGGCCGTGGTGGCGGTGGCGGCGGCGGCGGCGGCGGCCGTAGTGGTTCGCGATTCAAAGTGAGGCAGAAACGGCGGCGGGGAAGAGTGCGTTGGGGTTTTGCTTTGGTCGGCAGCCGCGCGATCTGCCTCGAGAATAGGCCGGTTGGGCTGTACTGTGTAGAAAACGGCCCATTAATCCATTATCCCCTCTCAACTTAGTGTACGATTGCATTGTCGGTACATGAACTTGTCAGGTGAGTATAATCCAATGCACGAACTTGTAAAATACTCGTTTTGATATATGAACTTGTCTAATGTGTACGGAGAAAGGCGAAAAGAACACTACATGGCTAATTTTATTGATTTTATGGCTGATTAGGATACTATGTAAATATATATCTGAGAAGATTGCTATTAGACATACACCTATCCAATAAAAAATAGAATGGAATATAATGATAGTAGGAAAAAGGAAAAATTGGAACCATGCCATTATAATTTTACAAATTTTGAGATATAAGGGTTAGAAATATATGAAATTGAAGGATAAAGTAGAGACCAAATTTATACATATTACATGTCTTATACATACTCACTTCACGTATACACATCACATCTTAATCAACATCAGCTTCATAAAATTAACATTGCCAAATTATTTTGGTCCTCGTTTGCACGAAAAGTACGCGTACTGAAACGAGCACTTTATATGTTTATGTATTAAATTACACCCACCTAACAAGTTTGTTTGTGTACCGCTAATGTAATTTACTCAAAATTTATTTAGACGTCAGCCGTGTGTATAATCTTAATCATTTCACATCACGACCATATATAAACAACTCAGGTTATATGTGATTGGTAATATAATAAGGAACTGCCTACGTGTCATTTGATAGAAAAAGAACCATCATAATCTCGTAAATTTTGAACCTACGATTATATTATGATTCTATCGCTACAATGATTCTACCTTATCCACTTCCTTACCCTAATCGTCCACTTTCACCTCAGACGCTCGATCTCCCCAATACACACCGTGCCACTGCTGCCACCAGTCTTGCAGGGTGCAGGCTGGCCGGAATCAACGTCACTGACTAGGCCCCCTCGGTCAACCTCCCTCCCTCTCCACCTCTCCTCTCCTGTTATATACATGCTGTGATTCAAGAAATTTTCTCTAGATTAGATGCTTTCTCACGAAGATTAAGAAGATCAATAGGATGGCTGACAAGCTAGCAACTTAAGGTAGAGATTAAGAGATATCTTCTTCTATGTTTAATGCTAGAATATCACCTTCTAGACATCTAGTTTATCATAGTTCTCCGTGTAAATGGTGGAGCTATAGCTCCTGGGCTGATCAGGCGGCTCCATCGCTAGCATCTCTATTACTACTATCAATTAGCGAAAATACTTTAAATATATTATCAAATATTCTTTGCCGCGCTTAATGGTGTTACTGAGTTTACCGCTACATCGTGTTATACAGACAAGCTGGATAATTAGTGTCCTATTATCTATGTGCTCTGTTTTTAACTTATCCATATAGTTTCAAAAAATTAAAAACATTGTTAGGAAAATTAGTTTGCATAATGAGCCGCCACGAAGGTGCAGCAACTCTCTCGAGTCTTCTCCAGGCGACTAGAGCGCTACAGTATTGTTTCCCCTCTTTCTAACCCCTCTCCTCCTCCGATTCCGGCGGTTCATCACTTGTGAAGGCTGGAAGAGAGATCAGGCCTCCTTCTTTGCTAGTATAGAGTAGCGTAGGTTGTAGTTTGCGGCAGCCAGGCCGTTCTGTACGTCGAGTTTATCCCGTTTTGTTTCGTTTGTATTATTTTCTTGGTGTTGGAGTCGACGGTGCTGGTGATGGTGGTTGGTGGTGGTGGTGATTGTTGACGGTCGTTAGCGATCAGTTTTGACTGTCAATATTACCGAAATAGAATATTACCGAAATAGAGGAGAACTAGTTATGCTTATAATGCATATACATGTCAGAATAATAATATTCCACCAGTATTAGGTTTACTAACCTTTTGTAGAAAATAATCATAAAGTGAAGGAGAATCGACATCAACTCAGACGATAAATCAATCGGACGATGTCGAGGATCAGACTTATACATGAATGGGCCAAGAACTCAGAATTGACACGATGAATTGGGCCAAAATTCACAAGTCTACGAAAGAGAGCAATGGAGGAGGCCACCTGCCGTTTTTAGGCCAGGATGGGCCGACCCATGGTTCTGCCAAACCCACCCCCCAGCGTCGTTTGATCCAGGTTTCTCCTGAACGGCTGAGATGGCTCCCTAATGACGGTTGGTGGGTATTACCGACCTTTCCAACCGTCACAACCATCATTGGGAGGCCATAAAAGGAGCTCTCATCCTCACTTCACTCACACACCTCAAGCAAGAGCTCTCTCATATTCTTTCAAGTTAGTTTAGTATTCTTAAGCTAGTGGAATAGGAATAGAGTAGAAATCGGGAGTCCGGAAACCTTCGGAAGAGTTTGGGTATGGCTCTAGCTTTCCTTTTCTCTTTTGTAAGCTTTGTACTTTATTTAGAATACTCTTCTATATACATTTATGGTATTGAAATACTTCCCGAGTATATGAATACCTACTTTACATTATGTTCATGTTATACTGAATATACTGCTAGCTTATCTGGGAGATGCTTTGGTGCGGGTATAATGTTTGCATATGCAATTACTCTATGTCATGACGATGATATTAGAGTAGTATCTGGTAGTTTAGGCATGGTGTCTAGATAACGGGATATCATTATTTAGGGTTATATGCTGCGGATGAGAGGTGGGCCGCTGTTGGTAACAACTCAGTACGGGTATTCCTCCGCGCGTGTATATAGTCCTAAGTTAATTTCCTGGGGAGGGTACTCCTTCGTATTTAGCCCCGGTTGTATGGTTATAACGGGCTGTCGTAAGGAACTCGGTAGTCAGGGGTGGCTTCTCGAAGTACCAGGAGGGCATCGAATAGAGGGTATTAGCTAGTATTTCAGATGACTAGAATGTATGTATACTAGAAGTATAGGAATAGATTATCTTTCTCTTTTCTTTCCACTTAGCTTAGATAATTTAGTATGAGAATGAGTAGCTCAACTACTTGTATGTCACTCTACCCTTCGATTATCTTTAACCAGTTCTTAGACTATGATTATCACAAGTAATATATAAATTATTAGTCAAGTTCTCTCTACATGATGTTCCCACGGGATAAAATAAATATGATACCCTTGGAATACTCTCGGGTGAAATGCTACAATGGTATATCCGTGCGCTTGCAGATGAACTCTATAACCATAATATACCAACAAGCATTGCGGGTGAAATTCTACGTCATTGCTGGGAATTATATTTCTAGTAATGTCGTTAAGAAATACCAACAAGCATTTCTAGCGCCATTGCCGGGGAAGATTCATAATAGAGATTACCTGAACTAATACATTATATTTACCTCTGTATAATCATTGCACTTTGCAGGCTAACCTTGGTTGTTTTCACTTTTGTTGTGAAAACAGGGTAGTGCATGACTGGTTTCAACTTGCCGGAAAATTTTAAGGAAAATCCAGAAGCTTTCTTCCGGAGCGTCAGTCCGCGAGTCGTCGCTCCTTAGAAAACTCTACAGACAAAGAAACCAGCCGTACCAGTGCCACCGACTTTCAAGACTATGGCTGACAAGACACTCCGCGAGTTCGCTGCTCCCTCTGTTGACAATGTGGCCATTGGGCCGCAAATCAACATGGGAGACGTGGATTTCGGCTTGAAGTCCAGCCTCATCACGATGGCGCAGGCTAGCCCGTTCAGCGGCAAGCCTAACGAGGATCCAACGCTCATATGCAGCAGTTCCTGGAGATCTATAGCACGTACACCATAGAGGGTGTCAGTCCAGACGCCGTTAGGCTAAGGCTGTTTCTGTTTTCCCTTCTCGGGAAAGTGAAGCAGTGGTTCTACGCTAACCGTGCTGCTGTCAACACCTGGGACAAGTGCTCTACGGCATTCCTCTCGAAGTTCTTCCCGTTGGGCAAAACTAATGCCCTTTCGTTGAAGGATTTCCAGTTTCCAGCAGACAAGGGACGAGTCCATTCCTGAAGCATGGGAACGACTTCAGGAGTATGTAGCCGCCCGTCCTCATCATGGGATGGACGACTGGCTAATCCTGTAGAACTCCTACAATGGACTCACTCCCATGTCCCGCGATCACTGGCCGCGGCGGCTGGAGGAGCATTCTTCTCTAAGACGGTTCGAGGAGCTGTTGATCTAATAGAGAAGATGGTCTCCAATATGGGTTGGAGCGAGGAACGACTCCAGACCCGTCAGCGAGGTATGCACACCGTCAAGGAGACGGAATTACTCACTGCCAAACTAGACCTCCTCATGAAACACCTGGACGACCACGACAAACGGCCTCAAGGCACCGTCAAGGCCTTGGACTCACATGTCACGTGTGAGGTCTGCGGCGGCACGGGACATTCTGGGAATAACTGCCCGGAAATCCATGAGGAGGCGAAGTACATGGGCAACAATAACAACGGGTACCGTCCACAAGGAGGTCAGGGGTGGAACGAGCCACGCCCGTATTATCAAGGAGGTAATAATAATGGTAACTTTTCTAACCAGCCCTCCTTGAAGGATCTTGTTTTTTGCACAAGCTAAGACCACTGATGCCTTAAGCAAAAAGCTAGCTGCCAATGACAAGGTCCTAGTGAATATTAATGTTAAGCTATATGGCTTCACTTTTGCTTTTCAAAACCAGCTGAGCTTCAATAAAATGATAGAATCCCAGCTAGCTCAATTGGCTTCATTAGTCCCTGCAAATGAATCGGGGAGGATTCCGGGGCAACCCGACTCCTCCGTTGAAAATGTCAAGGCGATCACGACGAGGTGAGGTATGTCCACTCGTGATCCGCCATATCCTAACCATGTAGGAACCAATGGGATAGCCAAGGAAGTGCCATCCAATGACTCAGCTGACAAGGAGATTCAGCCAGAGAAAGCCGTGCCGCAGGAGTATTGTGACACACGATTGCTGCCGTTTCCTCAACGAAGTAGGAAACCGTCAGTGGACGAGCAATTCGCTCATTTTGTTGAAGTAATCCAGAAGATCCACATCAACGTGCCATTGTTGGATGCTATGCAAGTGCCAACATATGCCCGCTACCTTAAGGATATACTCAACAACAAGAGACTGCTCCCAACAACGGAGGTGGTTAAGCTGACGGAGCAATGCAGCAACGTCATACTCCACAAGCTCTCGGAAAAGAAGAAGGATCCGGGGTGTCCTACGATCACCTACTCGATCGGGGCATAGCAGTTCGGCCAAGCTTTATATGATCTTGGAGCAAGTGTCAGCGTCATGCCAAAGGACGTCTTTGACAAGCTCAACTTCACGGTGTTGGCACCAACACCGATGCGCCTACAACTGGCTGACTCGTCAGTCCGTTACCCGGTGCGGATAGCGGAGGATGTGCCGGTCAAGATACGGGATTTCTTCATCCCTGTTGACTTCGTAGTGCTGGACATGGACACGGGAAAGGAAACAGCACTTATCTTGGGGCGCCCGTTCCTTAGCACCGCACGAGCCAACATTGACGTGGGAACGGGAAGTATCCGTTTCCATATCAATGGGAAGGAGGAAAAGTTTTATTTTCAGCTAAGGACCGAACAATTCTCCATGGTCAGAATAAAGTACAGGCCAAACCCGCAAAATATTCAAGTGGTCGAAGTGGAGCCACCCAAGACGGACAGCCTCGTAAAGTTCATGCAGAATTTCCTGGAGAAGGAAACAACAATGCCCAGGAACCGTTATTGGAAGACGCCGGTAAAAGCCAGCACACCGGCCAAGAAGCTAGAACAATCGGCTCAGAGGAAGCTGTCTTTCGCACCAAAACCAAATAAGGTGTGGAAGGAAAAGCTAAAGACATCTACTCCATTACCTCTGGAGAAGGGTGGGAAATCCACGAACTGAACTGCAAGGAGGTACGGTCTTGCACATCGGACTTCAAATGACACGACCTTCGCCAACAGGTAAATTGGTATGTATCCGCACATTTGTTTTCAACAATTTAAATTTTTGCATCATCACATGTTTGAATTTCAAAATTGCATTTAGAATTTTAGAATTTTGAGGAAATTTTCCAAATGAATTTTTCAGAGCAAACCAATACAAAATTTTCAATGAAAATTCGTTATGCCACGACCACACTGACCGTTGGAACCCAATGGCCGAAAGTGGGGCCGGTTGGGCCCACCAGGGTTCGTTTGGCCGAACCGGCCAAGCAACGGTCGGGTTCGGCTGAACCGGCCAAGCAACGGTCGGCTGCCTCCCTTTTTGAGGTAACGGCTAGTGGGCCCCACAGGTCAGTTTTGACCGTTGTGGGTGCACTACTTAAGCCAACCGGCCAGGAGAGGGAAATCCACCCAATTTCAACACATTTTCATTCATTCTCCAAAGTTTGCTCTCAAATTCATTCAAACTTTGATAGTTTCCCTCAAATTCAAATACTTAGTTGCATATATACAAGTTACTTTGGTGAAACTAACTGGTAGGTGAAACTTTTGCTATTCTAACCCCCGCCGAGTTAGTCCGTTCTTGCTCCATTGTGTATAATGACACTACTTCAGAAACGGTTTTTCTGTACGAGGGGGCGTTTAGTTCCATGCGGGCGAGTTGTGTCGGCGCCTGGAAAAATCGCCCCCCCCGGGGCAGGTCGACGAGCCGCATGTGAAGATGCATTATCGCATGCGACTGCTTAAGACAGCCGCATGCGATAATAGGCCTATTTTCTCTCTCCTAAAGCAAGCAACAATTAGGGGGGGAGGTTTTCAACTCGAAATTTTTGCTTGAACTCTATACGAAAGGTGAAGAACTCTCTCTCCTCCTTCATTTGGCTTCATTTTTGTTATATTTCATTGGTGGAAAGTGGAGTTTTTTTTAATATTTTGACAAGGTTTGTTCTAGCTAGTTTTTGCAAAATCTAGCTTCAAAATATTTTTTTTGATGGGCAAATTTTGCATGTAATCACTTGTACATACTACTTGCATTATTGTTGTAATTTTTTTGGAGGGACAAATGCATTTAAACTTTTGTATGAAATACCTGCGGTCTATTTTTTTATCTGTAACTTTTTTGTTTTTATATAAATAGATGGATCGGTCGTCATGGATGTATGAGATGCGGAGAATGCAGCCGGTATTTATTAAGGAAGCATCTAAATTTATTGATCAGGCTAAGGCGCATGCTTTGAGGGAGAATATGACAAAGATCTTTTGTCCGTGCCGTCATTGCAAGAATCAGAAATTGTTGGTAGATCCTGATGAAATATTGGGTCACATAATGGAGTACGGATTCACCGCCAACTACAAGGTTTGGACCTATCACGGGGAATTCGCCGATCCCGAAGATGACAATGAAGAGTTAAGTTTCGAGATGAATAAGGCAGAGAATTTTATAATCGAAGACATGTCCCGTGAAAGAATGGATGTTGATGTTTCCACCGATAGTGATGATTTCGAGGGTGGTTTTGATTTAGACGATATGCTACGCCATGTTGAACCAAAGGTGCTAGCGGGCAGGTCACGAGGATTGGAGAATTGGCAGGCATTAGAGAAGGCATCGAAGGATCTTCTTTACGATGAAACGAAGGGATGTGATAAGGATTTCACAGTCTTGCGTTCAGTGCTTGAACTTCTGAGATTGAAGACTAAACATGGATGGTTGGACACAAGTTTTAATGATCTGATGAGTTTGTTGCTTGTGTTGCTTCCTAAGCCTAACTTTGTACCATCAAACACGTATCAAGCGAAGAAACTCATATGTCCTTTATCTCTTGGTGTAGAAAAGATTCATGCTTGTAAGAATCACTGCATATTATACCGTAAAGAATATGCAAACTTGGAAAGTTGCCCAATGTGTGGCACAAGTCGGTATAAAATGGGGAATGGGCCCATAGATTCAGAGTGTACCGATCCAGATTCTGATAAGGGTAAGCGCGGAAAGATTCCCTCAATGGTGATGTGGTACCTACCAATTAAGGACCGCCAGAAGCGTCTGTACTCAAACCCGACTGATGCTGAGTTGATGAGATGGCATCAAGAGAGCCGGAAGATAGATGGTATGATTCGACATCCTGCCGACGCTCGCCAGTGGAAGAAATTTGATGCAAAACACCCAGAATTTGCTAAGGATCCCAGGAATGTAAGGTTTGCGTTGAGCATTGACGGAATGAACTCGTTTGGTGACTTAAGCAACTCGCACAACACATGGCCAGTCCTTCTCACAATGTATAATCTTCCAACATGGATATGCCAGAAACGAAAGTACATTCTTCTCACTATCCTCATACAAGGTCCAAACCAACCTGGAATCGACATAGATATTTTCCTTGAGCCTTTGATGGAGGACATGGAGGAGCTTTCGAAAGAGGGGTTACGACTATGGGATGAGTTTAAGCGGGAGCACTTCAATCTAGGTGTGATCATATTCGTTACCATCAATGACCTACCTGTGAACTTTTCATTATCTGGGTAGATTAAAGGGAAGACTGGATGTCTGATATGTTTGGAGAAAACTTCGTACAAATACCTGACATCGTCTTTGAAGACAGTGTACATGCGGCATCGACGGTTCCTACCACAAAGACACAGGTACCGTAAGATGGCTAGATTGTTCGATAATATAGTGGAGAATGACACTGCCCCAGAAGCACGAAGTGGTACATACGTGTATGAGATAACAAAGAAGATTAAGGTTGTATATGGAAAGGGAAAGAAGAAGACAGTAAAGAGGAAGAAAGCTGATGGTGACAAAGATACTGCATTGCCTTTCAAGAAGCACTCAATTTTCTTCAGATACTTAGATTATTGGAAGGACCTAGAGATTCGACATGCAATTGATGTTATGCACCTCGAGAAGAACGTGTTTGATAGCACCATTGGCACATTGCTGGACATCCCGAGTAAGACGAAGGATGGATTGAAGTCACATAACGACCTTGTAGATTTGGCCATACGGCATGACCTTCTCCCAGTAGTGCTTCCAAATGGGAAGACCGAGATTCCTCCTGCTTGTTACTCATTGACACTTGAAGAGAAAAAAGCCTTCTGTAAATGTTTGCAAGGGGTTAGAGTGCCTACTGGTTTCG